GAGAGAGAGAGAGTGAGAGGGGGAAAGAGAAGCGGGTAAAGCTTAATTGCTTGCGACTCGGACGAATTCGGATGATTGATGGTTTCGTGGATTGTCGCGTGGATTAGATGGATGGTGTTTCAAGGCTGCCAAAGACGCGAGTAACACATGGGATCTGGTGTTTTAAAAGGCTTGAGCCGTTTTGTAGGGTGTAATTGAACGATGGATTGCATCGTAAGTATTTAATACCTTTTTATGGATGGAAATTATAATTGTGTCTCGAGAGATATATGATTGAGTAAATACGTATGTTAAAATTAGATACACGATTCGTTGATATATATTTCATATATATATATATTTGTGTGTATCTTTGAAAAATTGGATGCATCGATAAAATTGATTTATATTGTAACGTGTAATTTTTTAATCAACGAAAAAATTCATTTTATAATATTTTAATATTTTGGTAAAAAAAATATTTGCGCAAAATGAATTATTTTGTTTTAATTTTTATATTCTTATTATCTGAGGTTCTTTTATTCGTATTATTACGAGTTTCGATAATCGCAATGGAATTTTATGGGTTATATAAAGGGAGACACGAGTAATAACATCGATTGTTATTGATATTCAAAATCGATATAGTCGTATTTCGAACACGGAGTGGAGCGGACGTGTTTTGCTCCGCGCACAAACATTGTATACATTTATTAAATTAATTATTTTTGTGTGAATAATTATATAAATGAATTAATTATTATATAATGATTATTGTAACAATTGTAAAAAAGTATCAGTAATATTAATATATTTTTTACATGAAAGTATTATTATTTTATCGAATTATTACATAAATATTATACAAAAATATTTTTTGTGCAAATATTTTCTATAACCATAAATATATAATTTTATAATCGGGAAATATCCATCATCAATAGTTATGTGCGCGAATACTTTTGAACGATAGTAGTGGATTTGAAAGTGGGGGGAAAAAAAGGATTATCAATTACAATTTTACGAGGTCTGCTTTCATATCATAGGTTTTTTCATGGTCTCACACGTCTAGAATATTATTAATCGTGGTGATTTCATTGGTAGAGTAGTAATTATTTTTAGAATTGGATTGATTCGTGGAAATTGAATCGATTCGCTCGGAGGATGAATTTTTTATGAATGTTGAAATTGTTTGAGTGGTTCGAGTTGATAATGAAGAGAGATGGTCTTGTTTCTGTACGGTGTTTTCGCAATATTGGGATGAGGCTGTTCTCTTGGGAAACTTTGATGAAAGTTTTTCTCCTCTTTTTGTGAAAGTTTCTCTTGGCATTCATAGTGAAACGACTCGGGATATTAAAATTCTTGGGATTAATATTTTTACAAAGCTTCTGTAAATTGTATCTATTATTATTTATTTTCTATTTCGTATACACATCTTAGTTAAATTTAATTTTGCAAAATTAAACTAATCTTATTAGATAGGATTTGTTTAACTTATGATATAATATTTTTTTTTATTATTACATATGTAGAATAAATATATATATATAAAAATAAAATTTAATATCATAGGAAAAAATTTAATTGAAAAAAAAAAAAACATTTTGAATTTGTCAAGAGATCGAATTAAAGAATTTCGATAAATAGAAGAAAAATAATTCGTATCAATATAAATTACGTACATTTATCAAGAGAAACTATTTATATTTTAAAGATACACAGATAAATTATTATTAGAAATCGTTCGTACTTTTTATTTCATTTTGTCCATATATTTATCGATGATAAATATTTGTCGAATAAATATCTACAAATGGCGTCACATGTTATTTCCAATGGATCTCAAAATACATCAAAACGATTTATTAAGATATCTTTATTTAATAATTGCCAAGAAAACAGTTTGAATCGCATTTTCCCACCCTCGTTGCTTCGTAACCTTGGCTGCCATCTGTTATCATTTCACGGAATTTCTGTGCACTCTCTTTATCTTTTATTCTTTACACCCTTGCATTTTTCCTTTTTCCTTTTTTTTAAGAAAATGGATTTCCAATGGCAGAAGAACAATAGCGATAAGATAAATACACACTAACTAATAAGAACGTAATAATAAAACGCATTTAAATTAGATCATCGACTTATCTATTATCTGTTCCGTCCTCGTTTATTCGTGGAACAGAAGATAGTCGTCAAATCACCTCACTTATTTATTTAATACCACTTATTTACAATAATACATTATTAAATATATGTAACACCATTCATAACTAACAAAATTATACATCCTTTGCGCGCAACAATTTATTGGAACGGTTCCAATTGGATAGATAAACGATTTGAAAGTCATCTTACGGGTCTTCTATTATCACAATTAATCGAAATCACGTCACATTCCGTTGGCCACACCTTCGACCACTCCGTGGTGAACGGAGAAACGGTGTGCAATGTAATATTTACATTTCAATTAGAATCAATTAGAATCTTAACATCGTCTTGGAATATAGTGGTCGCGATCGGCACAGAGTTTAGCAGAATTTAACAGAATATTTTTCTTCAATGGCGAGATATTTTTCCTGGTCGGTCTATCGAGATGAAATTTAGTGGGTGTCGTGTAGAGACATATAAATATTTTAATTTTGAATATTTATGGATTGGAAGATACATTTTTTTAAATCGTCGTTTTTTCATCGTCATTTCATAGTTTTTTATTCTTTTTAACATCAAAAATCTCAACGCACACAAGAGAATATTTAAACAAGAGAAAGATAATTTATTTTAGATTAGATTATGTATAGAGTAACTTGCAACATCCTCGTTTATCTTCAGTTTAATTTATTTCAGAATTATGGCGAAATCTATTGAAATATATATATATATTTACTCCAATTAAAAACAAATAATTAATTAGTATTAATATATATAATTAACAGTGATATGAACAGCCGAATATGATTGCTGTAATAATATCTAATTAGAAAACCAGAATTTTTTAGTATATAGTTTAGTATATAGTTTTAATTCGAATTAAAATTAATAATTGTGCAATTATACTTGGAAAATTTCTAATTTTTAAGTTCAAAATTAATATAATTTCTATCTATCTATTTAATTATTTTCATTCAAACAAAATAATAATTAATTAATCTCAATGAAATTTTCCCATTTTTCCTATCCTCTGAACGCATAAATTTTGAGAATCTCTTCCACATTTTTTCCCATATTTACACCCACCAGTTTTGTCTCGATAGTTTTGTCTGACTCGTATCATTCACAATCGAGAATCCTAAATAACGAAAAGTATTCCACAGTGAAGAGCAAGATATGTTGTTTTCCGAGGTGCCAAAATTTGTCCGCCTCCACTCTTCCTGGCTGATCGACGATCACAAGTATGTAAATAGTTCCTGAAATACACGACACGTCGGTTTCAAAATATAATGATCACATCGCATTCGATTATCGTTACCTTTATGTCCGTGTTCGATGATGCTTGGCGTGTCCTGTTGCAAAACGAAAAAAAAAAAAAAAAAAANAAAAAAAAAAAATAAAACGATAAACGAAACAATAATTCACGAACGTTATTCGACAAAATCGTGTTACACAACAATATGTTGGACGTTCAATGTAAGAATCGACAACGAAGGAACAAAAGAATGTCTGTAATGGCTCGTTTCCAACAAACGGGACACTTTTGACGATGCACTGTTATATGTATGTCGTATCGTTTGACACATAGTTGGGTAGGCAATATCGATCGAATCAAGCGATTTTCGTGTTGCTTCTTTCTCGTATTATATCGTCTGTAATAGCGATATTTTATTCGTAGGTTCCTTTTCTCTTCTCTTTTAATACTGTTCGTGATATTTATTGCGAATAGAATGTATTACGTTTTTCGTTCGATAAATGTATCTTCAAAAGCGAGGCGTTCATCAAAACTTAACAACAACAACAACAACAACTTTACTTAACAACGAATTTCTTTCATCCTCGATAAAGATATCTTCGACGAATATTTTATTCTTTTTCTGAATCGTGAATCGATTCCAAATAAAGCTGGTTCTACTTCCTGATAACTTTGCGTTAAATTAGTACTAGATCTACGCTACATATCTAGCCATTTTCAAAGGTTCCATTCCATGATACGGTATTCAATTTAAAAAAAAAAAGATATCGTTTCATATCAAAACAAGATATATCTTCATCCTCGGAGAATATCTCGCTCTCCCGAATTCAAAATAACCATAAAGCGATCACGTTCGATCCCAAACTTCGTCAATACGTGTAATATCAATCACCTATTCCCCAACGAGACCAAGTTTCTCCTCCTCCGAACCATCCTCCGTAGCCAGAAACACGGCGCGTATACCGTGGCCAAACCAGGACACGATGTACAGTGTCACGTCCCATCCGCAATCCGCGCCAGCTCGACAACCTCTCCAACCTCCTCCTCGGTGTCACGCGAAACCGAAATCAAACATCGATCCTCAATTACTAACAGATCTGTTCCCGCTCTCCATCGAGCCTCGTCGAGCGCTGTCCCTCAGAATCGCCCCCTGCGCGATCCCATAATGCTCGAACGGGTCCTTCCCATAGTAAACGACGCTCTCCTCGACCCCCCTGTGGCTCCCCTTGTGCCTAGGTGGCGTACACGTCCTCGCAGGAGTGGTGGTCGGGCTGTTCTTAGGCGTGAGGATCTTGTTGGGGGTGGAGGAGGGGCTGTTCTTAGGCGAGTTTCGCAAATTCGAGCCTGGATTATCCACCTGATTGCCTTGCATCGCGTTGAAGCTCTGCATGACCAGGTGAGAGGCGGCCGACATGGTGAGCGGATTCTCGTTTCTGGCCGGCATCGCGTTCGATTGATTCTCGAGGCGAGCAGCCACCGGCAGCATCACCGCGTTTTCTACTCGAGACATCGATTGCGTGGCGGATCGATGCTCGGCTCTCGGGGTCGAGCTCTCGCCTCGAGCCACCGATGATGATTGGCCGTTCGTTATCGGCATCGCTGACCTCTCCACAGGTCGGCCGATCACCATTTTCGATCTGTCTGGTTGTTGCGTCGAATTGGCCAGCACCACGGCCGACTGGCTTCTTCTGGCTGAGGAGGACTCCGATCCTCCACTTCCGTTCAACACCGGCGAGGCCGGGAACGGGGCGGTTTGCGATCGATGCTTTCTATTCGGGATCTCTGGACTTTTCGTATTATCGATCACTGGAGTGATGGCACTTCGGTGATCCTGGAAATTTTGGGTCGAGGACACGGGTTTTGGTATCGCCTCTTGCAAATTAGGCTTGAAACCATTTCCTCCGCTGTTGGGTAGAACGGATTCGTCTTGAACGTTCAGACTGTTCATCGGTGAATTGTTGATCATTTGACCGTTCACCAATGGTTTCTGATTGGTTTCCATATTGGGCTCGGTTTTTAGAGATAGAGGAGGCGTCGTGTCGTTGTTCGTTCCATTCTTGAGAAGTGCCAAATTGGGATCGCCGTTGGGGAAACTGGCGAATCTGGCTACGGTTTCTCGTTCCTCGGCTACTTGAGGGGCAAATGGGATCTTTCGTTCGGTAGGCTGTCTTTTGATAGGCTGCCTTTTTCTGGCCGATGACCCGTGATGCGTTCGATTTTTGTGCCTCTTGGCCTCTTCGTTCTTGACGACTGGACGAGTTTCGGGGAAATGTCTGCCCTTCATCGAGCTGGGCTCCTCGTCTTCGTCCTCGTAGACAACGCGGATATCCTCGTTTAGATCCGACTCGTCCTCCTCGTACTCCTCGACTATCGCGCTCGCTTGAATCCATTCCCTGATTCGGTCCTTCTTCTTGGCTCTGTCCACGGTTGTTTCGATCCCGTACGTGGTCAGAGTGTGAAGCAGTTGATTCTTCTCCTCGAGAGAGCTGTGGAAACTGTACATGGAGGGACATAGCTCGTCCCTTTCGTCGGCGCCACCTGTGCAAATGTCGAGTCAATGAGGTGAATGAGAGGGATGGGGAGAGGAGAGAAAGACTTAATTCGGATCGATCGTTACCGTTCATCGCCTTCTCGGCACCGAGTTTCGCTAGCCACCTGTCCTCCAAGTATTTATTTACCTCCAAGACGCTCACGGGTCGCTTCTCGGCCTTGGGATCCAGCAATCGCTTGAACATTCTGTGCGGATATCGAGAAAGTGATAAAAAGAAATATTAAAATATTATATCGTTTCACGTTTTAGAATAATTAATTCGTCGTGAAAATAGATATCTCGAGCGAGATTACTTTTTGAAAATTACTGTTTGAAACTATCGAGATGAGTAGTTCAACGAAATTGTTCGATATTGATTTTTTAGCATCTCTTATTAAATTTAACAAAATCTTTCTTTTTTTTTAATAACTTGCTTGAAAAACTTGGTTATTTCACGTTAAATTTACGTTTTATAAATTTATTTTTAAATATTTCTGAACGAAATATCAAATTTTAAGTAAATTTATGGGGAGATCCTAGTAACAACAACTTGATTCTTTATAAATAGATTTTCAAAGATTTCAGACCTTATATAATGTATATAAATAGGAAATTGATTTTGTAAATTTCATAATTCGTGTTCCATAAATAAGGTTCGTTATTTCCCTACGTTCGATGGTTCAGAGACAATAAATCATTTAATTCGGGGGTGGATTGGTTTTAGACGTTCTTGCGCTTGTTTCGAAAACAAACCAAAGCTAAAATGGAAACATTTCTCGGTATTGCTCTCTTTAAACGACCTCGGAATATAATCTGCTGTTGCACCGTAAACCCTTTTGTTTGTTTTAACACGTAACATCAACCTTGAATTTTCTTTTTATGAACTTCCTATCCCTTTAACGATTTTGACATCAATTTATATGTTCAACTTCTTATCTAGTTTAATTTAGTTATCGCATGATTTATTTTATTCTTTGAATTTTAAAAATTGATCCAAAATAAAAAAATTTCAAGCACACTTCCGAATCGAAATATCATTATGATGAAATAATTTTTTTCAAGATTATTTTCTAATAAGATTTTTTTTTTTAAATAGAATCTATAATATATTATAATATATACATCACAAGAAATCAATGATTTGTATATTATAATAAAATATAATTTGTGACATCTAACATCTGTTTCTTTGAATGCTGAAAAAATTAATTGATAGATCTCAGAAGAAGGATAATACAAGTTTTTGAGGGCACAAAACATATAAATTATCCTTTGGATAATTAATAATCGCCCATAATCCTTTCCATTAATTTTTACGAATATTAAATATCAAAGTAATTTGACAAGAATATTCCAGCGGCAGTTTAACACAGGCTGGCGCCTGATCCACAATAAGAAACTGACCTCTGCGCCCGTGAGCTGATCAACTGAAATAATTTCGGTTTCTTGGCTATGTTGAGCGTCGCGTTGTGCCAGTTTTGATATCTGGTGTAACGCGGATCGTCCAACGCCGCCTTCTGCCATGGCAAACATCCGGTCAGACAGACAAATAGGACAATGCCGAATTGCCAGACGTCGTGCGACGTGAGAGCTCTGAAAACGGCAAACGTAAATAAGATGCCACGTATATTTTGTCATTCATGATCACAGCAAGCCGCGATTTCGAAGGATCAATCCTTGCATTTTTAAACGATAGTGGGTGGAGATATATCTTGATAAAAGTTTCACAGAAAGGACGAGATTTCGTTCGTAAGATTTATAGTTATGGTATATCGAGAATTATTAGAAAATATAGGTAGAATAAAGATTTCTTATCTTTTCAATGATAAATTTATATTTACGTAAGATTTCGTATGAATTATTTATTAATTCAAAAAAAAAAAGTATATTTTTTTTTTTTGAATTTACAAAATTTATACGTTGCATATAAATTTGATTACGTATTCACGATTATATCATTGAAAAGATCGAATATTATTACTTTTCATTGCTTGGTATTTAACGGTTGAGAAATAATTCCTACAATATATCATTCTTAGTGAAAAATTAAATTTCTTGTCTTTGCCTTTTTGGCTTCAAAATTGATTTACATATTTCTTAATATGAATTGTCACGATTTAAATAATTTCTTTGAACTTTCAAAATTATGAAATCATGATCTACATAAAAAAAAAAATGCAATAACATATAAATAGGGAATAAAATATTAATTGCTGATAATGGTTCAATCGTATAATTACTTGTACGTTTCGTCAGTGTCGATCTGCAATACCTCGGGCGGCGAATATGGGAGCCACTCGTTGTGTCGCCGCACCACAGTGTTCACTCGTCTTGTTTCTCCAAAATCGCATAATTTGATCCGCGAGAAGTCACTTCTGAACACGAGAATGTTGTCGAGTTTGATGTCACGGTGCACCAATTCTCGGCTGTGAATATGATGCACAGCAGCCGCCAATTGCCTTGCCACCCTCTTCGCGTGAAGCTCGCCTAACCCCGTCTCAGTCACGTTGGACGTTAGATCTCCTAAAATGGTGAATCATTTGAGATTTGATAAAATTTAAATCGCGGGATAAAAATGATACGACAAAGATATGGAAATGAGGGGGATATCTTTTCATTCGTTGAATATAATGGAGGAAGTGAAAGTCTCGTTGAATAATAAGTAAAAATAGAAAGAATCGAGGTAAAGTAAGAAGATGGAATAAGAAGTAAAAATTTTAATTCGAAGAAAAAAAAAATAAAAGTTATTGCTTTTCAAATTTAATAGGTATATTTTATTACGATTAAAAATGTATCTCAGAAGAACTTGTTTAAAAATGAAATTTAAATGTCTCTGAAAAGACAGTGATGATTTGTCGTGCGTATAATTTTATTCAAAAATAATTTTCACGCATACATCACGAGCATTCCTTTACTTCATGAGAATCTTAACTGCTATACTGCAACTATTTCGGCTTTGTTCCAAATTTCTATGGAATGTGGTAAACACAATGTCTGATCATCATCATGGTTAACCTTGGATGGATATTTTACCAAGAATAAGTAAACTGCTTTGCCGAAGATTCATTCGGTAAAAAGTAATAGAAATCTTGAAAAGAGGCAATAATTCATCAGCTCGACATTTCGCTGCCCTTTGTCTTTTTTTCCTTTTTCTTCGTAACTCGATCGAGATCCCACCTCATCAAATATTCCATTATCCCTCGCATCTGAGGTCCCGCAGCTCCCAAGAATATTACTTTTAAGGTATTAATCCTACATGCACGGCACATCGTCTAATCCGTATTTGTAGAATCATCGAAATCGTAAAAATGGAAGGAACGAATTGGTATTCATTACGCGATCGAACAAATAATAAAAGACGATAAACAAGCGGATCGGTGAACATATGCACACATTTTATTTCACTTTATTTGAAATATCCTTTCAAGATTCAAGCAAAGATTTTTCCTTTTCTCTTTCATTTTAACTTGAAAAGAAGAAAAATCACTGTCACTATAACTTAAACTAAAATCGATTTTATCTCAACTTTATATTCATCTCGATAACAAAGTATTCAATTTTGAAAACTTCAAAGCCACTCGAGCAAATAATTTCCAATCAATGACTTAAGAAGACTTAATTCGACTTAACACGAAGTTTGAATCAAGTTTTTACTTGATTTGATTATTAATATCAAATAACTGGATCGATTCTTAAAAACGATTCTCACCGAGCGGCGCGTATTCCTGACTGAAAACGTAGAAGCCAGCAGTCTCGAAGGCCACGTCGTAGGTGGTTATGATGTTCCTGTGCGCGGCCAGGTGTAGACCGTAATGGAACTCGCGAAAGAAGTCCGAGATGCCGGTGTACGCCTTGGGCAGAGCCTTGAGCACCATCTCGGTCTGGGTGCTTCGATGCTCGGTCAGCAGGATTTTGCCGAACCATCCTTCGCCCACGATTTGCAGGATATCGAACTCGTCGATCAAGTTCACCTGTTCGACAGAGGAAAGCGTAAGGATTCAGCTGTTCTTAGTTTAAACGAGATTGAACGAATGGCGCGAATATTGAGACGTGCGCGATGCAACAACTGCTCTTTTATATAATATAAAACAAAACGTGTATTTTTGATTCGAGGCATGATTAGATTTCGCTGCACGATCGATAGTGTGGTTGGGATAGGTTCTGGAAGTAAGAGGATTTTGTTTTTTTTTTTTTTTATATTGACGAGTAGTTCGTGCGTCAATGAAGGGTTAGGGTTGGATAATTTAACATTTGAAATACATTGATAAATTTTATTTCCTGTAATTTTAATTGGAGTTTTAACTTCAACTTTTGGGAATGGTTTTGGAATTCCATTTTGTTTTTGTATGATTTATCATGTAATGTAGAGAAGTTTGGAGAGGTTAGATTTTTTATATTTTTTTTTTTTTTTTTTAGAATTTTGAGGATCGAAGCTTGCCAAGGGTTCGTTTGAGTCGTTTGCAATTTTTTATTCGGAAAAATTTTCTCTCTGGAGAGAAAATAAATATTTTTTCATAATCTGTATTTTAAAAAGTACCTAGGAATTCTAGGAAAACTACTATTTATTCGCGCGATTTATCCTCTTTATCGAAAAACTAAACAGTTTGACTCTGCCACACACCTTTAGAAGAAAGAAACAAAACGAAGCTTCACGAACTACCGAACCAACTCTCGCCTACATCCATTCACGAAAAAATTCTCATTCAAAACGTGTCTCTCGCTCTGGAAAAAAATTTCACCTCTGAAACAAATCGCATCGTTCACATCTTTCATTCACACTTCGCAAAACCAACCTAAACTTCAAGAAGAAATCGCATATCATACTTCCTGCAAAAGATGCACGCGAAACGTGTTCGAAAAATGTAAAAAGGAAGATGTCTCTGTTCAAAACGACACATATTTCACCGTAACTTTAGAATCGAGTACGTAGACAGATCTCTCGTAACAGTTCTAGCAGATTCTCAGCTTTCCCAAAGTTTCTCGAAACACCTTGGACGAACAGGACAATGGATGATCCAACGTCGTTTTATTGTACTCGAACAGGCCGCAAGCAGGCTGTTCGCATGACTCGTTCGAAGGTGTTAAAGGTTACAATCGCTTCGTGCACTGTCATAAAGTGGGCATCGAGCGAGAAAGTTGGTTTAGTGCCAGGAAATCGGTCCCGGTTCCTAGGTGTATATGTCGCGCGCAACATACCACTATTTCTGGATCTCGACTGGTAACTTGTGGCTGGAAACGCGGCCACGTGAATTATGTGACCAGGGAATTGGATTATTGTTAAATACGGTAGCGGTTCGTTAAACGACACCTAATATGTTTGCAACAGTTGAGACATTGGACGATATTGCGGCGCCTTATTTGCATTCAATGGAGAAGAGAGGTAATTTTCTGGAAATATACTTTGCTTCTACGTGAATGTGACCACTTAACGAAAATTGTTACTGTTATTATGTCTACTCGAAAATGGAAGTAGAAGAAATGATGGAAGTTATTTAAAATTTTCTTAGAAAATTAGTATCTTCTTTTATAAATGATCCTCTCAACGCGTGTTTAATTAATTAATGAAACATTATTGTAATTACGGAATCTTGAAGATTGAAGATAATTCAGGAAATGATGGGATACGTAGAATTCTTTTTTTAAAGAATACTTTTACAATTATATTACTATGTTACCTAATTTTGGGAAGTAAAGCTTTCGATCGAGGTTTATTTTGAAAATGATGAATGATACAGAATTAGAGATGCTAGAAATTTTTCAGAAATATAATCCTTTTCGATAACTATCCAGAGTTTTAATTTTAACTTTAATTAATTTTATTATAGGATTATCATAATCGCGAAGCCACAGAAATTTTATAATTAATTCTTCAACTTTCGTTAGATTTAATTCAGAAACGTAAATTACTTTAAATAAGTAAGATAGATTTCAAGTCTTAATTCTTGTATAAGTGCCAACAATTTTGTACTTATCATTTACAACTTTATATTAAATATTTTAAAAAGGTTATACCATTGGCAGATAGTTTTACACTTATATTATCAATTAAGTCAATTTGCATATCTTTTTTATTCAAATTAAAGATTTCTTAATTCAAATTATCACACTCGTGCTCATTGAAGAAGAAGGATTATATTTCCAAAAATATATCTTGATAGATAGCTAGATATATCATCCGACATATATCTTCAACGAAACGTCACTTAATCTTAAGAATCCTTTTGATCAGTGGAACGATTGATCGAATTTATTTGAGGAATGATTTTGTTGTTGTTTTTTTGAGCTTGTTCATTCCGCTCGTGATTCATAGAAGATGGCAGCCAAGAATGTTGGCTTTTGTTTGATCTTTGGTTAAGGAAAAAGTTGAAGAATCTCTTTACAATGATCCATAAGTAGTAGAGTCGAATGCCAACTTCTTTATTTAGTTACTTTAGAGGGATATAAGTTGGAGGAATAAAAGCTTTGTTCACGAGTTATATTGAGTTTCTTATGGAAGCTGAGATCTTTATGGCTGTCTGAAAATTTATAAAATTTATTTGCTATCAATTTACTACAATGTGTGTAACTTGAAATTTATTGATATAAACGGCCAAGAATCTACATAATTTTACATAATTGTAAAATAACAATTCCGATATCCATTATTTCGAGTTTGAGTAGTTTTGTTAATATAATATCCTTTTTAATCTGAATTTTTAATTTGTAAAATCGAAAAAATTTTATATTTAAATTTAGGTAAAAGAAGGGAATAATTAAGTAGACTCTACATCTGCATAATTTTACATAAATTTTAAGCAATAACTGTAATATTCGTTACTTTCCTGCATCTTGATTAATGCATATATTTTGCGATTTTTTTTTTTTCCTACGAGCATAAAATTTCGAAGAATGTTCGATAAGTTTTTAAAATTTATCATATGGACAAGTTTAAAATCAACAAAAGTATTAAGTAAAAATCTTCAATCTGTTCATTGTAACAAAAATGTATCAAATGCCACCGAGAATGCCAGAGAAGAAAACCAATAATCAAATTAATCGAATTCCTGTGCAACATCAAACAATCAGAGAAGCCGCTAAAAGATCGAGTAATGTTTCCACTCACGGCACTCTAAATTTATCGTGTTTATTCATCCCTTTCTGGGTGGACCAACAGCTTTAGTCGATCGAATCGATGGAAAAATCATATTAGCCGAGCGGAGCCATCAAAAGGGATCGAAACGAGCAACGAAGGAATAGGGAAGGGAAAAAAAGGAGGGTTGGTCGTATCAGGAGGAAGATTCGATTCTCCAATCGAGTTACCTTCTCGAGCTCGAACTCTCGTATCCTGTGAATGGAGCCGCCGATAGCCTTCTTCATTAAGCTCATTCTGACGGACGGTCGTCGATCACTTGCCACGGGCTCGAATTGATGCCAAAATTCTCGTTTAACTGTCCCCAATGATCGACGAAGAGATCATGAGCCTCGCATTCTGTCATTTCGCGATGAAGGATCCTCCACTTTTATTTTCCACGCCCTCGCGTTGTCGATTCAACTTTGAATCATTTCTGTGAAATTGATTAATTTTGAAGTAATTGGATCGATTATTATTTGATAAATTAATTTATTTCTATCGAATAATTTTTACTCGTTCATTTCCATTTAATAATCAGTTTATTTTTCGTGAAGAGTTATTTTTTTTTTTTTTTTTTAAAATATTAATGATCATTTTACTTTCTTGGGGAGAAGAAACGAGAATAAAAGGTAAAAATTGCAGAGTCGTAACAGAGTTAAATGGCGAAATGAAGCGAAACGAAAATATGTTTATCCTCTGGTGGGATTTTCAAGCGTTGAATAAAGAACACGAATAAAGAAAAATTTAGATTAATTAAGAATTAATTAGAGACACGCACGTAATATTACGTATTTATAGCTGCAAAAAAATAAATTATTTTATTACAACAAATTAACAAATTCGAAGAAAGTTTTAGTTTATATACAGGTAGAAAAAGGGACCAAAGGGAGGATTCTCTCTATACCTCTCTCAAGAATTCCCCAAAGAACAACTTGCAAACGACAAATTTGTCCGATTAACTTCCATTCCGTTTTCAAGCGGACGTTACGTAAACGGCGTGGAATTAGAATCCTCCAATATCAGTGTGGCGGCATTTTGTAACAACAAGATCCTGTTGAGAATTAAAGCGTTCGCCATCCAAAGTGGTGGCGAAGAGTGGTAGGGGAAAGTTTGCCGAAAGCCACTTAAACCGCGATCACGTGCTTCCGCGTAGCCGCAAAGCGAAAGCGTAAGTTTTAGATAATGCGCTCTTTGTGCGCCTGTGCGCCGGGGTAACGACGCGTTTTCACCGAGTTACAAAGCTCGTAAGTGGGCACACGGTCTCCTCATGAATGGGAGGAAAGAGAAACAGGGGAGGGGGCGAAGGCGGGACGGAGAAGGAAAAAGTGGCGGAAGGAGAAGTTGGGATGAGAGAGAGAAAGAGAGAGAGGGAGAGGAGGAGGAGAAAAGTTTGGTGAATGACGGCTTGCGTCGGGGAAGGTTGAACCGCCATTTCGTCTCGAAGGAAAAAGATACTTGGTTGTATCGTGTTCAAAGATCGTGGAAAAGGATCGAAAAAGCTCGCGCGCGTTTGATGTTCAGCTACTTCCGATGGAGAACGTGTTTTCGCGATACAGAGCGGTGCATTCAGACCATGAAACATTCATGCTCGCACGGAGATGAGAAAAGGGGAGGGGGTGGATATCGATGCTGTGGAGAAAAAACGCGGGGTGAAAGAGGAGAACCGTGAAAATAAAGCTGTGAAAGTGGAGGATATTTCGAGAACCGAAATTAGATGCGTTAATTCTGATTAATATTTTGCGATCACATACTTTCTTAATTATCAAAAATTATCGCGTCATTTTTTAAATTGGATATAAACGGAGGATTAACCTTCGAAGATTAACCGGCGAGAATATTATAAGTAGAATATTATAATTGATTATGGTATAAGCAGTTGCAGTTCAAATTTAAATAATAATTTAAAATATAATATGTTTGTATATTGTTTTGAGATAAATCGTTACAACAGCCCTCTGAAGATTTATCGATCAATGAAAATGTAATCACGAAAATTAAAGACGTCAAAAACTTCGATAATTGGCATGATTAATATTAAAATAATACTAGAATTTCAAGAATTTTATTATATATTATTTCAATTAAGTTTTATTATTCTTTTTTTTATTATTAGTTCCATAATTAATTACTTTACTTTTTATTAACACGTTGGATATATTATAGAAATATAAAGAATGAAAAATATACGTGTTGTTAACCACGTTAAACTTTACGTTCTTTTTTTTTTTTTTTTAATTGATCATTCACATGTAAGATTTAATAAGATGCTTATAAAATAATGGAAAATCATATGTTAATAATCAGACGATCAGATAGTAGACTTTTAGAATTAAGTAATTTAGTAGTTTCTTTTCTCGACTACTCTCGATGGAATATTAAAGCATTTATTCGGTGTTCTGAAAAGATCGTTGTTAGTGTAGAGTATACACGTGCCGAGAACAAAAATAGCACCAGATTCCAACCTATAATTCATATGTAGTTGTACATTATTCGTTCGAATAAGTTGTGCCTGCTTTTGATTTTGGGTGCTATTTCTTTTGCTAATGGAGAATCTAAGAGACTTGTATTTTCGATTTGCGATATAATATAATTGTTACGCAAGTTGAAACACAACGAAACGCTGCAAATCTCGGCCGGCACATATGAATCCATCGTCATTCGCCAAATTTCGTTGACTATATTCGTTTGCACATCCATCTGGATACGACAATTTCTTTCTCTAATACGTGCATATCTATTTAATTTGATTTAATTTCGAACGAATTAAAAATAAATAAGTTTGTATTTGAAAATAATTTAATTGAAATTAAATATAGAAATATTATTCAATGCATATAAATTATATTCTAAAATAGAATGTAATTTATATGTAACGATAGAAAGATTAACAGTTCGATATAATATAAATGTAATTATTTAAATTATTTAAATTTAGCATAAAAGTGGAAGAAAATAGAATACTCAACTGTGTCTAAGAAAATTTCACGGGACAATAATCAATCCTTCTTCGGAAAATCACAATTTGTCGGTTAAACAGTCACTCCTTCAATTCTTATCGCACTTCACCGAAACACAGACGAGACTTATCACTTTCTTCAAACGAATACGCTTTACAAAATGTTTCTTTCCCAACTTCCGTTAGCGCACACCAGCGCTAATTCGTGTACGTTTGGCACTTGGTTCCAAGAATTCGCTCAGCCAACCCGGGCTACAATTAATTCACGAAAATGTCACTAACACCACTTAATCATGTATACACTTCCCCACCGTCAACTTCACACAAAAAAATCACAATAGAGACGCCACGAATATATTTTGGTTTTTCTCCACGATCGAATTCGACTCGTCCATGCAGCTGTAAAACCGTGTCTGCCGAGATCTTTCGTGATTTTACAACGACTCCCGTGTTCGCTGCACACTTCGACTGTCTGCAGTATTTATAAAACACCGACCGGAAAGCGCGACTGGTGAGCTGATTTTGGCGCCGAGCCGGCTTGGCCGCTGACGCCTCGACGTGGACATCGTCTTCGCGGATAACGATTGTCGATCTTCGAAAGGAATATGTTTTTTAAATTTTCGAGGAAAAGTCATAAGATAGTCGGATTCGGCAAGATTTAACCGAGTTTAAAGAGTTTAACTCGTGATTGTTCGGCAACCGCCGCCATTTTTGTGTTTTATACGAGGAACCACGTGCCAGACGTGTAAATCGCGATCCTCAGAAAATTAATGCGTCTGCGTCGCGACGTGATGAGCTTTCTGCGAGTTTTATGGGAACGATGAGTAATTCGCGAGTTATTTTCATGTGTGGAAACGTGCTTCCCCTGGGAAAAGTGGAACAACGATGGAGGTATGAAAAATGTATCGAGCGTTTTATTCGAGCGTTATAATTGCGTTCATCGCGATTATTCATTTTTGGTAGAAAAATTAATTTCTGTAGGAGGAGGATGATGATGATCTGTACGGGAATATTTAACTGGTGGTATTCGTGGAAATTCGTATTTTAGTTAATTTTATAGATTTGTAATTGTAAAAATATTTTTTGGATATATACATACGTAAGAAGTGTTAAGATAGGATTGTTTTTATATTCTTTTTTTTATGTTCGTTTTTTTATGTTTGGATGATAAAAGGAAAATTAATAAATAGTGATTGAAAGAAAAGATTTGTTAAATTTTCTAGAATGAAAGGATTATGCAATTGATAAAATTATGTGATTAATAGTGTAAGCATGATTTAAATTATTCCGCCAATATTTGCTCCGTGCACTACTGACATCTATCGATACTGTGATGAACTATATTCTCTTTTCTTTTGAGATTTTTACTTGATTCATCCGATAATTGTAACTTTTTTACAATATGTTACCGATTTTTTTTTTTATTAATTAAAATATATAAGTAACACATGGATTAGAATTTATATTTAATTAATTTAACTTTTTATAAATTTGTAGGGATTCTATATTCTCTTCATCATTTTAGTAAATTCATTTCCAATATTATCGATTCAGTAAAAAATAACAGTATACAAATAATAAGTTATTAAGTATTAATTTTAAAAAGATATGTATTTGTACGTATCTAAAAAATAATATCGTGAAAGTATAAATATAATTTTATCTCGCTTAAAAATATATATATATATATTATTATGATAAATTGCTATAAATATAAAAATTATATATTATTCTAATTATAATGAAAATCATTTTTCATTGTAACAATAAAAATTGTTTAATTTCGAACATCTTTATTATTATTTTCATTGATTTTTTATAAAAGGAAAAAGAAGTCATTTCCTATTAAACTTCTATAGCAATATAGACAAGAATAAACGTGACATATAATGCTTTGGAGATCATCTGACCTCTGCCACTTTTGTATCATATACGTTTAGTACCATTTGTAGTTATAATAATAGTTGAAATAGACATTTTACATTAATATTCATTAATTATTAATTAACAGTAAATCACAATAATCGATACTAATTTTGAGTTAAATAACATAAATCAATCACACAAGACAAGTAATATATGTCAATTATACTGTGAGGTATATCAAGAAATATATATCAACGATATAATTATCTTAAATATTATAATATTAAAAAAATTGTTAAAAAATATATTACAGAAAAAAGGTAAATGGATTACAAATTTCTTGTATCTCATATATATAATAACAGATATATATATATATATATATTCTATGGTGAGTATTTTAGGTTTCTTGGATTAAATATTCGAATATAATTATTATGCTCGAATGTGAAATCAAATTTTTAATTCATTTTTAGAAATAGAATATTTTTATTTACAATTAGATACATTATAATATAATAAGAATTATATTCTACACTTCATTAGTATGATTTCATTTCATTTCATTCTTAAAAATTAATGCATTAATATAAAATCTTACATTTAAGGATTCAGTTGAACTTTGAAAAGAATTTTAAAATAAAGATATATATCCAAGATTTTCACATTGTCATATTTGCAATGCCTTTAATCGAAATTGTTTTTCAAGTAGATATAAATAATAACAATAATCTTAAAATATATATATAAAATATTAAAATAAATATAAAAATTAAAAACAATTTTATATATGTCGAATCAGAAGAGGATGTATCATATTTTATTTTTTAAATAATATATTTTCCAAATAATATTGATCGGTGATTTACTTATCTCGAACTTCTCGCTTGTTTTTCAAATTTTTTCTTTTTCTATGTATACATTTCATTAAATTTAATAACTTTTATGAATTATTATAATTTTATTTCATTTTTTTTTATTAAATAATATTAAATATCGTTATAAATATATTTACATGTTTCAAAACTTCGCGCGGCCCTGTGACGCCAGTAGTACGCCACGTGCGCCAGTAGGTGGCGCCAGCGTGAACGTATAGACGCGACAGAAGTATTCGTAACTCGAATCCAGTGAGTACGTTTTCTCAGCTTTCCCGTGTCACGGTGTCGCGAGCACGTCTGTCGTTGACGCTCGCGGTGTCGGTTGGTTTTATCTAATCTGTGGATGAAAATTAAATTCCGCGAGTGTTAGTACCGGTCACAAGTGTTCGCTTGAGCGTGCATGAATTGCACGAGATCGGAAGAGTCGGCAGGGTCCGAGAAACAGAGAAGAGGACGAATGACGAGGCCAGGCAACGGGTAAGAGACGAGCACGGGAATAGACAGAGAAGGAGAAAACAGTGGGGAGCAAGAGACACGGAACGAAGAGAGACAGAGAGAGATAGAGAACGAAACGAAAAAGCAAAAGAAAGAAGCTAGAAGTGTGTCGGGCCAGTGTATCGAGGAAGGAGCTGGGAAATCTTGCTTTTCCTTTTCGTACGGCTGGATCGAAGGGGCAGAGGGTGTGCGGGTGGGTGGGGTGCCAAAAAGAGAGAAACAGAAACGAGACAGCTCGAAAAAGGAAGAAGTAATCCAGCCACGAAGGGTGTACGAGCTGTGCGTCTCGGGGAGGGAAGAGTATTGTGTCGACAAACGAGAGTGTGAGAAAGAGACAGTGCGGTGCCGTGTAAACATACATCCTATTGCCGTGAGTGCGTGCGCGAGTGGCAATCAGCGACGACTTAACGTCGTCGTCGTCGTCGTCGTCATCGTCGTCGTCGTCGTCGTCATTGTCGTTGAACGCCGTCGTTGTCGTAATCGTCGAGATAGTGCAAAACTGCGTGGTCGGCGTCTCCTTGTAACAACTAAAGGAGACGTTAATTTGTCGAGACGAACGTACGAAAAATCGACCAACTAATGTGTTTATCACGGTGTATGACACGCGTATGAAACTTCATTACAAATGACAGTCCATCGAGTGAGAAGGGAAGTCGAGTGCTGGCTGGATTCGTCTGTCTAGCGGGCAAAGCGGTATGTGTAATTTTATTCAACGGTACATTTAGTGGACTCTTCTGTAAAAATGGCTCCTGACGCCTCTTCTTCCGTATATACACCGTTCCCTCCCACTTTCCCGTATTTTCAATCGTATTTAAATTCATTCTTTTATGCATGAAAATAGTTATTGAATGAGAAAATGTTTATTGTTTAACTATTAATTTGATTAACTATTATTTGACGATAGCTGGGTCATTTTTAACCTCAACGTCGAATGTTTAGTTTATCGCGATAAGACGGAGGCAAAAATGAAACAAATGAATACGTCTCTAATAAGTCATGCAATATAACTTAAACCTTTGAGGAGAAAAGATGCCAGAGAGATCTTTCTCTTCATAAGATATATCTTTTATTTATATTGATTTATAATATAATTATCATATATATTATAGTTTTATTATTGTAGCCATTAATCATAGTTTTATTATAATTATTACAATTCGTTATATAATTATTGTAGATTAGAATTATCTTGAAATTATTATTGTTTTAAAGTATATAATATAAGTGCATAAGTAGAAAGATAAGAAATAAATATAAATAATACATTTTTCAATAATATTATCGGTATAATTTTCTAATTTTTTACATCAATATAATAATATACAAAGTAGCCTCAGATCAAAATGATTGATACATGATTATTATCTAAAGATTAAAGATGCCAGAATTTCGATCCTGTGCAATACACAGGACTCGAGTATCGGCTGATACGTGCTTCGTTTATAAACATTCACGACCTATCCTGCATGATATAGCGTGCAACTTGCATGCGTAAACGTAATTGACAACGGATCGTGTGACTACCGTTTGGACACCCGTTACGTTTTAAAAAAGATCCTTTTACATTTTCTATAAATGTCTGACATTCCATCATATCTATTTCTAGTAGATATATAATTTGATGCAACCTTGAAACATTAATAGACAAAAATTGAATACTTATTGAAAAATGCATGTCGCGTGTTTTAACCTATCTACCAATCATTGAACATGTTATATAGTTCAATATGTACATATATACATTTTCAATGACATAAATCACAGAGGTTTCATTATTTTTTCTATAATAATATCTCTACAAAAAAAAATAACATATATTGAACACTTGCTTGAAATATTTGTGAAAGTATTTATGCCACACAGATATTAACCTAGTATAATGTTATAAAAACTTATCAGAAATTATTCAATCTCTTTTCTAAACCGGATCAATACTAAAGTATAGATAACATACTGAAATATTAATAATGTAATCAACAGACAAAATTTTTAGACAATCTTAAATTTATACTTTAAATTAGAATATTTTCTAAAAAAGTGACCTCAAAAACGGAAACGGATGGGCCTCGATATTATCGGTCGGTTAACGAACCTGGAATTCTGAAATGTTAATGTCTTATTACGTCACGTTCGTTTACCGTGGTCAAAGAAAGGGGTCAAAGAGACGAAAGGAATGGGAGGAGGAAAAGAGTTTGAGACGACTAAAAATGGCGTGGCACGGTATACCATCGCCTCACGGATACAGATTACAGAGTCTACTTCGTATCGTTCATCTTTTTCTTTTTGCTTTCTATCCATTTCTCTATCTCTTTTTTTCTACATATGCATTTCATCGTATTACATTCATAAAGTTGTCTCGCTCTCAAGTGTCTATAGTCGCGAGAAGAGAAACACTCTAATTATTTCTAATTGTTCTCGACTTCGAGGACGAACAGAGGCAGACAATAGATATCGGTAACTGCTTTTTACAATGAAAGTTATTAGAGGTTTCTATCGATACACACCCGGCATCTTCCGCGTGTCATGAAATCTTGGTAACGGGAAGTTAGCGCTACCTGTTACGCACTTGTGATAGTGCGTTTATATTACACATTACCGTAGGTTATCGCCTTTTAAATCGTGAATTTCACGGAGGAGTTCGTATGCGTACGACGGTTGCCGTTCTCTTCTATTTTATTATCTTGATTGTGAAACGTCGTCTTCGCGAAATAACGCAGTTATTATGCAATATATTTTTTCTTGCTTTTTTCTTTTACTTTTTTTTTTTTTGCTCGATGTAATTCAACGTTAAAAAAAGCGCGATCATGTGATTGGTATACAAAACAGTTCAAAGATCGCGAAAATTGTCAAGTCACAATAATAAAAACATTGTCAAAGTCATAGTCATTCTTTGTTACGTGAAATGCAAAATATAATGTTTGATTATCTTTCATAACAGAAATATTTATTTATTGATTGTGATAAGATATATAAATTATCCGAGATACGATGTGGAATTTATGATGGATGATAAAGAAAAAAAATCGGAAAAAATTTAACTGAATTATTTGCAGCTTTCACAAGCTAGTAGATAGTAAATATTCTTACAAGAAATTGAACGGGCGATTAATTCACTCTTATTGCATTGAGCAGAAGTAGGCATAGCGCATTTATTAATTTTTTAATGTCGCGTCATGCGAGATGTTGGCATTTCACTCGTCTCAGACACATCAATAGAGATGAAATTCATGGGAGATTCTCACGAATGATGATGATGATGACCTTAGCTCGACGAGGTCCCTCGTTGTCCCTCATAAGTGCTTACGTGCATCGTCGTCTGGTAATGTTAACGAGCTTCATCGACGAAACTTGTTTCCCCTTGAAGAAATTGCAGACTAATGAAATTTTTTATCTGACTTTCTAACCATCCAATCTGCTTGATTTCTGGCTAATCGAGAAACCGAGAAATTAGATTATCTTTGTAAAATCTGATTTCCTCTTGTTGAAATTAAAGTTTCACGATGAAATATTCTGACATTTTTAACTGGTATACTTAAGATGAATCAGTAATTAGAAATACAGTAGTGTAATTAGAAATAGAATGGCTGTCCCTGAATAAAATGAATTATTCAAAATATAGTTTGATTTAATTTCAAGATTTTAAGATTTTGATTAAATAATCAAATGAAATTAAAAAAAATATTAGATCATTTTTGTAATAAACTATAAATCATATAGAATTTAGTGATATACTTATTAATTTATCAAGTAAAATTATTGAATTAAGTATTCAAATATATAATCAATTCAATTATTGAATCACATAAAAATTAGCAAGAATCATATAAAATTTAATAATTCAATATTTTACATTTGCATATATTCCAAAAATCTCGATTACATTATACATTATATTTAAATATATTCAATTATAAATGCATTCTTAGTATCCATTCAAAATCATGATCTCTAATATATTCATATGTAAGAAATCGTATATATTCTGAAATAATACTTATATTATTTTGTAGATTTGTATACAGACAGCATAAATAGTATGTCCTTGCCGAGAAATTGATTACGAATCCTAATTGAATTACTTTAGATAATGCCTATGATTCCACTGGCATGACCGGATTAAGTATCTCCGTTGCCACGTTTCCAAATCCAATTTGCCCATGTTCATGATTATCTGTTTTCGGTGCGTATTAGTATATTATAACAGTGGTTATCAACTTTGTAAATCCGTTCTTAAATTTCTTTCTCTTTCGAAGAATCAATAAACGAAAAAAATCATCATTCGTAAAAATTAATAATAAATTTGTATGGAAATATCATAATTTACCTTAATTTTTATTAAGATAGAATTCATTAAGGAATTCAGAATATGAGGTTAGGAAAAGTTTACATTATTTCTGATTAAAAAACGATATATTTCTTAAAGAACAATATAATAATTGATAATAAAAAAAAAGTATAAATATAATTGTTATTGTTATAATACATTGAAAAAATATGAAACAAAAGTTTATGATTTTAAAAAATGATCGAAATTTAACTTTACATGCAAATTAATAAAATTAATTACAATCGTTTTATTCCGTAATTTATTCAAACAACTAATATCGATTTCGCTTCTTTTTTTTCTTCTCTCTCTCTCTCTCTCTGTTTCTCTTTAGCTTGAATTACCGATATGGTTGTTGTCGAGATAAATTCGTCGTGGAGTCGTTCATTCGCGGAGGAATGCAACGATCCGTGGCACACAAGTTTACACTTCCTCCAATGTTATGCAACGCTGGTGTGTCGATAACATAGTTTCCGAGTTGGGGGCGCGTGTCGTACTGCCATGGTGTCCAAGAGGACACCGTAAAAGTTTTATCTTCAGTTGATAGCCGTATCCCGCGGTTCATAACTCGATGTGCAACGGAACCAGGTCAACGGGCGACCGAGAGATACGCGTCGTGCGCAGGTGGATGCTGATACTGGGGCGAATGTAAGGTTGTTATTGGGAAAATGTCAAGTCCAATCAGTCGTGGCGAGATATTTGGACGAATAGACGTATTGTAGGTTTTTCACACCTACCTCGGTAAAATCGTTTAATAATTCGGTGCACAGCATCCGTATATATACTTACATATAGATTTATATATACAATCGTTCGTTCGTCCATCTCCCGTGTAACAAAGGTGGCGTGAGTTCCGGAATATCGGCCGCTCGATAGGTACAGGTAACCACTGATGAACGATAAAATTAATTAGGTACACGGTAATAGCGAGTTCCATAAGATACCCTTGAGTATTTCAAAGAGGAGTGGAGTGAAGATAGGCTTTAAAGGGAGCACACTCGGTCTGATCTTGTTTCGCTATTAATGCACATTGCAGATATGATGTAATGACTCGTCCAAGTTCTTCGTGAGACCTTATTTCACACTATAATTGATATATGCTGTGTTCGATTACGTTTATATTAAAAATAGCTTGATTAAAACTTTACGAAATGAGTCTCGAAACGTAAACTTTTTTTTCTTTTT